GTAGTTTTATGTACAATAAAAAAGAAAATACAAATAAAATGAAAGGCGGCAGAGAGAAGAAAAATATCTTATAACATCTGCCCCTTTTTCCTCAAGTATAAATTCAATCAATAAATAAATAAATTCAACCAGTCACATGTTCAAACAATTGTAACGTAATGTAATGTTATTTAAAAAAGCTTAGATTCTCCTTATCAATGTTACATTCATGTTTACTGTACATAGATAAAATATTGTCAAAGCATGTGAGAAAATGAAGCCATTGTTTGCCAGTTGAAAGATATTTTTTGCAAAATGGTTCAAGTCTTTTAAAGAAGAGAAGACTTCTGTAAGATTGATTTATGCTGGACTTTACTGGTTGACTCATTAGCGCCTCTGGCGTTTGGACATGGAACTGCACCCACCATCATTGATCTCAGGCAAAGGGCAGATGAGTGACAGGACAGGGGCACTTCAGGGGGCCAGTCAGATTTCAGCAGGGGCCAATGCCCCAGTGGTCCCGCCCCTGCTGTGGATAAGGTCTTGGAGTCCTGCCCCACTTCCTGGTTCATTTCAAAGCCAACAGAGAGGAGTGAGGTTTTGTAAACAGGTCTCTCTGGACGTGTGGGCCTCCATGAGAGGTCAGCAGCCCCTCAGGTTTGGCCTCATTTCATTCAGGTAGTTTTAAGTCCAGATCCTTCTCGTCTGATAAGGTTTTTTTTGTTTATTTATGGTAAACAGATGGCTGTCATTGTGGTGAGTCAGTGTGTAAGTCCAGCAGGTCTGGACCACTTGCTGATCAATGACAGGAGAAACTGGTTGATTTCAATCCAGTGGTAAAACCTGGTGGAAGGAGTTCACCTCTCCATCTTTGGATGATGATAATCAAGACTGACAAGAGTCGCCCAAAGCAGATAAACTTTATTAACAAATCTAGTTGCAGTCATAGATTCAGCTGAAATACACAGAAAACAAAAGATTATATGTATCGTTCAGATTCGTTACACCAACTCTAAACTCTGAAGCAGGTTTTGTATTAAGTGGACCGACTTTCACAAAAACAGCGTGACGTGTTTCTGAACACTTACAAAATATTTAGTCACAAATACTCAAATCTAAGCTAAATAATCTCATTATTTTGTCATTTTTYAAATGTAAAAACACAAAACTCAGAGAAAAAAATCATTCCTGTGCAAGATTTAATTTAATTTCTGACATGATTTAGTGAGTTTTGTGATGGTGTAGCACAGAACTGTGGAACGTCTGTTTCATGCATCTGTGAGGGTGGATAAAATGGATTTGGATTGAATATTTTATTAGTTAAAATTGAGAATAATTTATAGCAAGAACACACAGAAAACAACAACAGTTCTCTCTGTTTTAGGCCACGTCACATTAATACTACAGGTGTGAACTTTTAGGTGTCTGCTGAAATTCTCATCAACAGGAGAGAAATTTATCCTTTTAAAATGTTTATTTTAAAACCATGAAACAAACTCTCCTAAAAGGTATTTTTACTGATTCACAAAAGCCACTAACATGTGCTTCAAACACTCCAGTGTTTTTTATTTAAAGATATTGTTAGCATCTAATATTTGTTTTCAAACACTTATTTTATTTGCCCGTCAGAACTGTAGTTTAACATCCTGAGTCTGAATATTTGATTAATTATGGAGAACTGAAACAGACGTATTTCAAAACTAAATAAAGATAATATCCAACAAAATAATTTAAACAAGATTTCTGACAAATATTACTG